TGAGGAGAATGCAGCTCGGGCTTTGGAGGAGCATGGAGTGCTACCTCGGCCCTCAACCCGCGGCAGTCCTGCGGGTTAAGGCTAAGTGGCTAGGGGAGAGTCGGAGCTCTCCCGCGTTGCCACACCCGTCAGACTGCCGTGCGGTGCTGGCTGGTAATGCTCTGTTCTGCCTCGTGAGCCCCCGAGGAAAAAATCCTCCCCCTCCTCCTCCTCCTCCGTTTTCTCCTCCTCCTCCTCCTCCTCCTCCAACTCCTCCTCCTCCGTTTTCTCCTCCTCCTCCTCCTCCTCCTCCTCCTCCTGCTCCTCCTCCTGCTCTTCCTCCTCCTCCTGCTCCTCCCTCGCCCTTTCGCCTCTCGGGTCTCAACCGGAAAACCGCCTCTGGAAAATGGCATCGCAGCCACCGCCGGTGGCGTCGTCGTCGTATTTGGGTCCTTCTGCACGTTTCTGACCCTCGTTCGATGAACACAAATGACCCCTAACCGTTTAGGATGGGACCTAAGGTAGGAGGGCCAAGACCAGCAAGGATAGGAACTCTTTCCTGCAGATGTCCCAGGCCAGACCGCCAGGATGTACTATCCCGAATGGCAAAACGGGAACCTCAGTGAGGCCACGTCTTCCCATCGTGTCACCAAGGTTCGGGGTCCTTGTGCCCTCAATGATCCACAGGCCTCCGGAGGCTCGAGGCCTCGGGACGCCTCTACGAAACCTCTGGGGCTCCCAGAGTCGGCTCACATAGCTGACTTTCCCGGCGCCTCCCGGCGCCCGGAGGCGCCCATGGGCCCGGCGGCGGGGCCGAAACCAGCTGCATGCAGCAGATTTCGTAACCCCCCCTTTCCCCATCCTCCCCTTTCGCCCGGTCCGACAGAGGTCGTCCCCTGAGATCGATACCTCGTTATTTCAACGCGGGGCCCCTGAAGCCCCGACCCCCTCCCAGGGTTCGGCGTCCCATCCCCTCGCCATCGCTCGGACGTCCATTCCCTGTGTTTTTTTCGGTTTCGTGCGTGGTTTTTTCGCCAAATGATCAAGGATGCTCCTCGATGGCCCTCGCCGAAGGAAAAATGCACACGCCCGAGCGATGCCAAGTCCCGAGTCATTCCCTGACGGCCCCGGGGGCCCCAGCGAAGGCCACCAGAGGCCGAAACCGCTGGACGGCATGGGCACTGCTTGCGTCTCGGAGCGCTGCTCGGATCGCCGCGGGGCTTGCTGAGGAAATGGGAGGGTGAGAGAAGGATGCTAACGTGGATTATGTTTGGCCTACTGTCGGGGCGTTGACCTAAGGAACCCTAGATAAGGAACGAGGCCTTTTTCTTCCATAAATTAAACTTCGGCTCCCCATCGAAAACCTAAGAACAACCTAAGGCAAACTGCGAAACAATTGAGGAACACGGAACCCCTCCCCAACGAAAAGGGTTCTTTGTTCAGCGCCCCGACTGTAGCCTATCTTACAAGTTGGTCGCAAACGTCCCAAGCGGCTTAGGGGTGTATATATATACACATATATATATGTATATATATATATATATATATATATATATATAGATATATGTGTGTGTATCCAGACTGGCTGGGCTCCGCCACCTTCTCTCAGAGGTCTCTGATCACCCTGAACAGTTTGAGACTCTGGCAGCCTACGTATCCGCCACCTTTACGCGAGGCACGAGCTGGAATGCCCTCAAAACCCCTGTTGTCTGCTGTCCTCAATCCTCAGGACTGAACGGCCCAGGTCAAACAAATCCTAATATTCCCTTGTTCCTGGCGTGCCTCCCCTGATCTCCTAGTGTTTCCCGGATGGCTGTTTGGGGGAGCCAAGCGCCCCAATACGGACCCAAAAGGCCCCAAGAGGCCTATGATCCACAAACCAGGCACGGGGGCGGTATGGGCCGGGATAGGAAGGGCTCCCAATTCTCACATGCCTGCCTTAGGCGCCCAGTCTTCCTGCGAGGGCGCGATGCGACTGTCAAAAGCAGCTGTGGCCAAAGCGAAAAGGAGCGAGTGCGCAATATCAAGAGCTGAAGGCCACTAAATCCACCGTCCCCTGCTTAGCCTGCTGTAGACACGGGAGCTCGGCGTGCTGAACTTGTTTTATGGTTTTGGTTCTCGCTCAAGTTCCCAATGGGTCGGGGATCGACTGACCTGGTCAATCCAGACCCGGGTCAGTCAGGCTTTGCAGGATGCAGCAACGTCGGGGAACATCCTGCATGATCCTGCAGGATCCTGCGCCCTAGCCGAATCAGTGCAGCCCTGTTTCTGCATGATCCTGGAAGACCTGGCGCTCTAACTGACCCCCGTTTGCATTGATCCCCGTCCCTGGAGCCACGAGTGGGGTCTCGGCCCAGCCCGCCGGCCACCCCGAAGGACCCGCGATCCGCGCAAAAAGGTGGGAGGCAAGGCCCCTGGCGCCCCCAAGACGGCCAAGATGGCCTCCAAGATGGTCCGAAGACGCCTCCGAAACGGCCAAAATGGCCCCAAGACGGCCCGATCTTCCCTCCAGACGGACCAAAGGGCCCACAAGACGCCCCACGAGGGCTCTGGGAGGCCAAAAGTGCTGACTGTGTTGATGGATGTCAAAGGTTTTTAGCGTTCTCGCCGTTCCAGGCTGCCGATGCTCTAAGACGGCCCAGTAGGACCAACGTGCCACCCCAAGACGGCCCAAGAGGCCCCCAAGGGGCCCTACGGCCCCAAGACGGCCCCATTGACCTCCAAGACGGCCCAAAACAAAGCGCCGAAAAGGGAGGAACCAAAGACGGCCTCTGAAGGCTAAGAGGCCCTAGAGGCCCCCAGGAGGCCCCCTAACAAGACCTTCAGAGGCACCCAAGAAGCCCCTCAGAGGCCCCAAAGAAGCTCCCAGGAAACCGCCAGAAGGCCCCCAAATGGCCTCATCCGGCCTCCTTTTTGTTCCTCTTCCTCCTCCTCCTCCTCCTCCTCCTCCTCCTCCTCATCCTCCTCATCCTCCACGTCTTCTTCCTCCTCCTCCCCCTCCTCCTCCTCCTCCTCCCCGTCCTCCTCCTCCGCCTCCACTTCATCCTGCTCCTCGTGCTCCTCCTCCTCCTCCTCCGCGTCCTCCTCCTCGACCTTCGCCTTCTCCTCCTCCTCCCCCTCCTCCTCCTCCTCCTCCTCCTCCTCCTCCTCTCCTCCTCCTCCTCCTCCTCCTCCTTCCTCCTCCTCCTCCTCCTCCTCCTCCTCCTCCTCCTCCTCCTCCTCCTCCTCCTCCTCCTCCTCCTCCTCCTCTTTTGCCCCGAGGGGGCCCCTCCCGTAGGGGAGGGGTCGGGGCCCCAGGGCCCTCCTGGCGCAGGCGGGGAGCACCGGGCCCGAAGGGCGAAAAGCCCCCGCTCCCCTGGGACGGCCCCCCTAAGCGGGGCCCCCTTCCCAGGGGGGGCTGCCAGGTCCCGGGGCCTCCCCCGGGGCGGCGCAGGGTTTCTCCCCCTGCGTTCGCCGCCTTGGGGCGGGACTGGCGGTCCGTCTCCCCGTCGTGTCGCGTCGTTGTCGTCGTCGTTTCGTCGTCGTCGTCGTCGTCGTCGTCGTCGTCGTCGTCGTCGTCGTCGTCGTCGTCCTCGTGGGTCCCGGGGTCCGGGTCCTGTTTTGCCCTGCCCCTTGGGCGTGCGGGTGGCCCTGCCGTTCGGCCTCCCACTTCGTGGGGACAGCTCCGTTCGGTTGGGGCCCCCCGCCTGCCCGTGGGGCGGGGCCTTTTTCCCCGTGTAGTCCGGTCGGGCTCGCCCGCCGGCCAGGCGCGCGGGGCACCGCGGCGGTGCCGCGTGTGACATCCTGCGGGCTGAAGACGCGGTGGAGAAACAATCCTCCTCCTCCTCTTCCTCCTCCTCCTCCGCCTCCGCCTCCTCCTGCTCCTCCTCCTCCTCCTCCTCCTCCTTTTCCTCCTCCTCCTCCTCCGCCTCCTCCTCTTCATCCTGCTTCTCCTCCCTCTACTCCTACCTTCTCTTCACCCTGTTTTTTTATGCCGCCCAAAAACACCCTCCTTTACCTTAAGTTCGCAAGTGTCCCCCCAAGTGGTTCCACAACTGCTTGGGGGACACATGTAGTCCAATAGCTTGGCCAGACTTCGGCCCAACGTTTGGCCACATGGACGTTTCAAACGGCAAGGGGCGGCGGTGATTCTCCATCCGCGTCTTCGATAAGCTAGGTGAGTACACATAGAAAACACATTGGCATGCGATTCAAAAAGAGACTGGGGTGATTATCTACCTCTGCTGAGTCGCCTGAGCACACTTAGTCCAAGCCTAGACCCCCCTTAAGCCACGGGGGACACTCGCGACCTGCTTGTCAGATTGGAGGGTCGGCCAAGCACAGCCCACCTCAACACCCGCTTCTCTGACCCCATCCATCCAGCCCCTTCGCCGCCTTCGCCCTGCCACGAGCCTGCTGCCGCGGTGAGGCAACGCCCACACCAGCACTATGTGGTGTCCAAAACCTGGACAGCGAGGCGGCAAAAACTTCTGAAGGCCCTTCGGAGGAATTCTGGAAGCTCTGGGAAGGAGCTTCTGGAAAGCGTCAGGCAAAACAAGCTGCAGCCCAGACAAGCCGCGGCGAAGATCCCTGCGGGAAGGTGGAACGAGCTCCAGGCCTGCCCTAGCCAGCTGGCGTCGAGTCTGATACCCTCTTAGCTCGCAGAGACCTACTCGGGAATCTGCCTCCAGAACCTTTCCTATACTCCCGCCAGCAGACCCCGAGGCTATCCAAAAGTGGAGGTCGGGGCGATCGCCGCCTCCGCCCTGGCGAGCGTTTTCTTAGTCGGCGTTTCGACATTGGGCGGAAAGGGGGGGGGGAAGGGGTGCGTCTGGTCCTGGACCTCTGATTAATGCGACTGTTTGCAACACTGCGTCTAATATGGGGAGACTCCATCTGCCTGAAACCGGCGCCCCAAACAGCCAAGATCTACTTACTCCATGGGGGTGCGCGAGGGCCCGCGCCGATCGGCAAAACACTGAATAAGAAAACGATCACCTGCCGCGAGCCTGCTGCGCAGCGGCGGGCGCCCCTCGCAGGGCCTCCCTGTCACGCCAATGCTGGCCCTCGCGGGCCGCCGCGCGCTGCCGCTCCCGGGCCGCCAGAGCCAGCTCCTCGATCTCCGCCGCGAGCCGCCGCTCCTCATGGCGAAGGGGGGAGTGCCGAAAGGGGGGGGAAATGCCCAGACTCCTCCTGCTCCTGCTCCTCCTCCTCCTCGTCCTCCTCCTCCGCCTCCGCCTCCAGATCCTCTGCCTCCGCATCCTCCTCCTCCCCGTCCTCCTCCTCCTCCTCCTCCTCCTCCTCCTCCTCCTCGACATCC